TCCGTCCTACCCTAATGATTATATTATTACATTGTAATGATATTAGCATTATGTTGGCTTATATGAACAAATCTATTATCAGGTACACAATTCAAAGCCATGTATCTGCCATGGGTCCTATTTGGATTTAATCTGATTATTTCTGGTGGCGGAATGATGGAATTATTTGGGATTCTAGTAGGACATCTATATGTCTTCTTGAAATTCAAGTATCCCCAGGAGCTTGGTGGTCCAGAATTACTCAATACTCCTAGGTTACTTGAAAGTTATTTTCCACCTCAAAGAAGTGGAATTCGATCGTTTGGGAATGTACCTGCACCTAGACCTACGGGCGAACAGAATCAAGGGAGAAATATATTTGGAGGACATAATTGGGGAAGAGGTCACGTATTGGGACAATAATTGAAAGAAACTTATAATTTAATAAAAAATTAATTATTTTTATTATATTTGTTTTATTATAATATACAGTAACAGTTATTTCTGTATTATCAATTCTTCCAATATTTTTTTGTGAATTTTTATTTAATGTTCATAATTCAATCATAATTAATTTTATAATAATATTATGAATTTAAGATGTGCATTTTAATGCAATTTAATAAACATGCATATTATAAATTTATAAAAAGAACTTACATTCATGTGATATTTGTGTAATATTATTATTGATATGTGTAAATATATTATTGATTTTTTCTCTTTTTTTCATACACAAATATTGATTATAAAATATAAGGATAAGAATTATAATTTAATTTTTTCATAGATCTTATACACATGAATGCTGTTAAATAAAAAGATAGTAAATGCATTGTATTTTTTATCCTTCATTGTACCAAATGTATAATACTTATGTTCGAAATGAGTCAAAATGGTATCTGAGAAATAATCAATTTCAAATATGTCACGTAGTGACATTTTTTAACCGATGTATCATAATTGACAAGTTTTGCAAAAATGATAAAATGTATATTGGAGAAAGAATGACAATATTTCCCTTCATTCATAAGAACTAATAAACGATTATGTTTAATGTAATAAAACAATTTAAATTTACGCAATAGTCACATTCTCATAAAAGAACAGAAGATATTGTACTTTCTTGCTCTGTTAATTCAGTCTTCTGATTATAGCTATTAGCTGCACTAAGCATATCCATGTTTACAAGATCAATGAAATTTTTATAGACCTCTTTCATTTAATAACTGATCATTAATTATATTCTCAATGAAATATATTTATCAGTAAGTTTGTAAATATTTTCTGCACATTTTTATATTTAATGGTAAAGGAGAAGTGTAGAATTAAAGGAAAAAAGTAATCTACTGATGTGTAATCTACTGATTAATATTTTAACCAAAAACACAAATGTTAAAAATTTGCATATATATAATATATATATATA